GAGACAGGAAGCTACTCAAAACCTTGATCCAAAATCAAGAAACATTTATCATTGAAACAGCTGGATGAGGCATAAGATCCCAGATATTACCCCACATCTTAAAGACTCCTGTTAATGTCTCAGATGTTATACATTTATGTACTACCTATCTGATGAGAGTCTTGTCTCAAGCTGCTTTCCCTTGATGCATTAGTATGTCCCCATGTTTTACAAACCTGCTTCTTCCATCTCATCAGCCCAGTGGCTCTTTCTTCATTTATGAGTTAGGAGTCTTATTAACCAACCCATTTCACCTGCTCAGACATGACAACCCTCACTCACAATTCAAGTTCACTGCTGTAACGTTTCAAGATTTTGCACAGAGACTCACATGCTCAACAGACAGATTTTAGATCACCCTACATAGTTAAAAAAATTCAAGTAGAATATGTACATAGAATTAAAGGTGCTTAAGGTAGCTATGAGACTTATACACAGCTCTCAGCTAGATGATGTGCTTAGTTGTGGGAAAATGTGTCCAGATATAACATAGAAAGGTGAGGCACATTCTCAATTGTTTAAATTAATGAAAATCTAATACCTTTTTTAAGGATATCAAAATGAAGTAAGGAAAATCAAATCTATTCTGGAATGTAGGGCTTAATCACTTCATCTGGCCTGACAGTACCAATATCTGGGCATGAGATGTAACACAGATGTTTTAGGTTGCCAGCCTCATCACAAACCATTTGCACTTCTTGAAATGTGTAATAAGGCTATTTTTTTTCCTGGTTTGCACTGAATCACAGAGTTGTCCTGACAGCTTGAGCCTGTTGCATTATGCTGCTACTGTAGCCACAACTTTTCCCAGTTACTCCCACCTCTGATATACCCCTCAGCACTTGTATTTAAGTTGTAGACACAGTTGAATAGTTTAATCAAGAAATGTAGTTCTACAAAGCACAGAAAGCCTGCTATGCACTTGTTGCATGCCTTTCCCAAATACACCAGATGGTTTCTTTTCCTGAACACTTCTCTCCCATGTGTCCCCATCCCCAGTTTGATGCCACAGTTCTCCTTTCAGAGTGGGATGTCTATACAAAAATAACTCCCTGAGAACACAGAGTGAAAAGCATTACCCCAAAGCAAAGCAGTTCCTCTTAGACACTGAGCTGTGGCAGCACCTGCTAGTGGATACCCCTGCGAGATCCCGGTGCTTTCTCCTGACAACATTGCTTGCATCAGCATTTCACTCCACCTCCTGTGAGGCCCAGCAGAGGACCCAGGGGTATCCAGGACAAGCATAGACCTCTTTGGGTACCACTGCTTTCCCTTACCCTGAGGAACATGCTCTTTTCACCTTCCGCATCTTCCTAGTCACCTGTGCCCCCACTGAGCAGCCCACTTGGCCAGGCCTTGTGTCACATATCCTGCCTTTGTGAGGGAATTATCTCCTAGATCAAGACCTTCAATGTTTTCTCTGTTTGTAAACTTCCCTGGGAACTGGGAAAGTAGCTGAGTTTAAAAGCACAACATTAATTATTCCTTCAGTCTGGCATACTGTGGTTATGATTTAAAGTTCTGGGTTTCATTTTACATGTATAAGCCACATCTGGGTTATTTGCTGGTATAGATCTACCTAAAGTTATGCTGGCAAGGAACACAGCACATCAATCATACCTTGCATACAAGTCAGGTACCCAAAATGAACACAAAACCTGCCAGTTAAATAGGACACTCCTCCTGTTTTGCATATTTTCAAGGTTACTCTCCCACATCATACACACAGAGTTTATACAATTCCCTTCTGGTCTTTTAGTGTGCAGAGGAGAAGAGAATGGGACCTTATTCTAAACTTAAATGTTGAAGGAGAGATGCTTTCCTAATTTATCTAGGGGGTTTGTGCCAAGAATCCTAAAGTTTGAGCTTGGTACATTGCTGCCCCAATTGAAATGGAAAGGTCCTTTCCAGTACTCTACTCTTTAAGAGGTCTCAAGTACCACATCCTATTTATCTTCCTGCACAGTGCCAGTGTAGGAAGTTCCACACAAATAATTTGTAAAAATATCATGCATTTCCATGCAGTTAACATAAACAAGGCAGTGCAGATTCCCTAAATGAGTTTGTCAAGTGTTCTGAACACATTTTTAGAGAGACATTCTGATGTATTTTAGCACACCAGCACCCAGGGTGACTCTACCAAAAAATGAAAAAGACTTCAGCTATACCAAATTTGTTACTCCATGTAAATGCAGACAATAGTTAATTAAGTCACCTTTGACAATTTCATTACCCTTCCAATCATTCTTCAGCATATTCAAAACTTTGAGTGGAGCAGGTTTACTATTGAAAATAGTAAACTCACTCACATATAAGCAAATTAATTACTTAAAATCAATATGCTGCAATTCTCAAGGGCTGTGCCATTAATTTTTCAGAAATACTTTGGTGCTGAAAATCCATGACAGTATTTATGAACTTCAGAAGTTCAGGAATTTTGTACCAAACTTCTGGTGTTTTCTTCCCATAATTTCTCTGTTAAAAGGGTTTGGTTATCCAGTGAGAGAACAGAAGCAATGTGACTAGATCATGCCAGGGGTGAATTACAAATAGCAATTGTAGCACAGAGTTTGTGAACCACATCTCCTATAAAAGTACTTCACTCAAACCATTTGGTGAATACTTATGCATGATAAATACATGCAGAGATCTCAGGGATGATTCACTTCTGACATGTGAATAAAGAAACAAGACTCAATTAATCTTGTTCCAGATTCACTTAATGAAATTAAACCCCGCCAAAGTACTTCAGTTTGATTTATAAAGCTTTTAAAGTAAAATGTTTTGGGAGACAGTTACCTGAGATATTACCTTTTTCCTCCTTACAGTGCCACAGAGGAGGTAGATACAGTGTGGCTTCCTGGAACAGACTGACACTACAGCTCTTAATTTTACTAAAGGCATTGTCATGGACAGGTCCAGTAAAGGGGCATGCTTTTCTCCAGACAGTCTGGTAGAGTTTGATGCCTGTTTACTTAATCTAATTCTTATGTCAGAATAGAGAGCAAGAATTGAAATTTGTTTCTTCTGGAGTCTTTTTTCCATTTTTTTAATCTATGAAAGCCTTTCAAAGTTACACATGTGAATCTTGTCACTGGAAAAGACAACTCAATGCCCTTGATAAATTAATATACAATTAAATGAATGCACAAATATTGGAGACTGACAAAAACTTACATTTTGGCACCCTTAATGATGCAACAGGCTCATGTCTCAATTGCAATAAAAGTGGACAACAGATGAAACTATTGTGTAGGCTACTGAATATACAGGAATAGTTCTTCTCACCAAAGATACACTAGTCTTTCATGCTATTCACAATAAACAAATTTCTTATCTGACCTGCAATCATGGGATTCTTACAGTAGTAAATATTATACTTGGCACACATTTGTGGGATGATGACTTGAAGTATTGTATTTATAGTTGGCAGCATTCCTTATAGCTGTATATTATTCTAAGACATTTGTGACCTATACCTTTGAACAGCCTACTGAGGTAAAACAAAATAGAAAGAGAAAGGTCAATGGAAAATATCACTTTTCTAATGCTTTCTGAAAGAGAAGACGAAGTATCAAAATGGCTGAGGTGCCAGGTGAAAATTAATTTAGAGAGTTTGTGTTAGATCACCCTGAAATAACACTCCAAGCCCTACAAAAGCACACCCAGACGAAAGATGTCTTCATATGTCTATCTTAAGGTCAATACCTCTGGGAACAAATTATAAGAAATTTTGCCAAGAGCTTATCCCTCAACAAACCATCTGAAATAGCCTATAAATAAAATATCTGTGAAGGGATTCACAGATATAGAGAAAAGATTGCTATAAGGGTGAAAGAAACACTAATGGAAAAACAGCTGTTTCTTACAGCCAAAATTGAATCAGAAACCTGGAGCTTCCCTATACTCTGGTGACCTCTGATGAAAAACAGCTCACATAACTGCAGGCTGTTTCTAAGACGAAGAACTGTGTTCAGGGTGATAGGTCACCTCAGGGCCCTGTCCACAGCTCCCTGCCAGCCTCATCCCACTGGGACCAGGGGGAGAGGTGCCTTGGATGCCCTGCAGTCTGGCTAGGGGTGTGTGATGGGCCCTGGCTGGGTACCCCTGCCCTGCCACCCTGGGAGAGCCCCTGGTGCTTCAGCAACTGGAAACAGCTGGGCAGGTGGGTCAGGATCACCTCTGAGTGTGCCTGGCACTACCACAGCCCTGCACATAGAAAGCTAGTCACCCAAATCGAGGCAAGACCATGCATTTTAAGCACCTTGGGAAAGTGTAGCAAATGTTTCATTGGTTCTCCATAGGATTGCAAAGTGTCATATCTATGTCACTAAACACAAAAGCCATTTATAGCTGTTTTAGGAGTATGATGCAATCAAAAATTTTAAAATAGTATTTTCTCTCTACTCAGCCAGTTTATGCAGGAATGGGAGGTGCTCCCTCAACACTTGCATTATTATACCTAGTAGTTTTCCAGCCCTTTGAATTTAGGACATTTACAAGTTTTCATACCATTAAAGCATTAGGTATCACTTAGTCTCTGTCAATAACCTATAAGGCACCTTCATTTATACACTGAAATACAGCAATCCATTTAGCCAAGTTGTGACAATACCTTCTAAGTCTTCTTTAACACTTCATCCATTTAATAGCAATTCATTAATACAGAGCTATTAAAAAAATTATGAAACCATTATAGAAATAGCAAATTCTCTTCTTGTACCAACGAGAGAATGTCTAGTGAAGTCAGTGGATGTGGCCCTTATTACACAGCAAATGTGATTTCTAAGCATATGTTTTCATGCACTGATGAAAGATCTCTGAAATCACTTTGAGAGTGAGGGTGTCAGTACTAATCGAGTTGGCAAAAAACCCCCACAAATCTCATGCCATGTGACTAAACCCAAATAACTCACATTTTTAGAGACTCATGTTCACTTTAAGCTGTTTTTTTTACTTACTGCTTTATACGTTCTCTTTTGTCCAGCATGTTTTCTGATTTGTTCTCCATTGGGCCCAGTTTCAACATGCATGGAATAGATAATATCAAAGAAATCTTCTACGACGGCCACCCGCCGTAAAGACAGCTTCTCATCTACACCTACTCCATCCTGAAAAGGGAAAAAAAACAAAGAACAGAAAAAGTAAGGGAGACAAGATGAATAGATAAATTATGATAATCATGAGACACATTGTCCTTTTTTAGAAGGGAATTAAAGACCCATTAATATCGGAAGATCACCCATCATGCAAATAACAGACACAGTATTGTAGGAAAGCTGTGTGATCAGAAGGATCACACAGACACTTGCAAGCAGCCCATTCTGCCAAACCAGGGCATTTGGCCTCTTGATAGGAAATGATCTTCCATTCCAATATTTTAAAAAAACAAACCAAAAACTATCTGTGCTTCTTTCTCCAAATGCAGAAACACAATTCAAAGGCAGAAGCTGTCCCAAACACACGGCACAAAAATGCATTATGTGGTTGTTAGCAAGGATGCAACAGCTCTGCTGTTCTCTCACTCCCCAGTAAATCTGTGCCAAGCATTTCATAAAGATGTTTAATAAAAGGTTTTAATTCAAAGAGCTGATTGTAATTATGAATATGAAGGAAGTTTTTATAAACAACTTGCCCTTGCAAAAATTGCAAAGACATACTATATGAAGACATACTACACATGAGGAAAAGAAAGGGTTGTTTTAAATATTTTCTACTTTCACACACAGATGTCCAGTTGGAAGAAGTGGAAAAGTGAGAACACCTAGCATCTGATTTTCAAGTGATAGTGTCACGGTAGCTAAAGTCTTCTGAAAAGAAACAGTCCCCAATGTCTCTGAAATTAACCAGCGCAGTTCAGCTCCTGCCTTTTTAACAGAACCATCCACATGAGGTTTTGCTTGTTTTACAGCTGCCTAAGGACTCAGTTCTAATGAAGGAGCAGGAACTGAGACTCTTGTTTTTCCACAACAGACATCTATCAAGCAGGCTGCAGTTCGTAATACAACACCAGTATAAGAAAAATAAAATAAGAATGGCCAATTTACTTGTACTCCAACACTGTATTTGAATTTAGGTCTTTGGAGGCAGCAGTATAACATTCACTGTGTATTTTAAGCAATAACAGTGTTCCAAACAGAATCTATTTTATAATACCATTACTGCTCATTTAATTCATGCCACAACAAAACTGATTTACATGGGCACTTCTATGACCAAACACATGCAATTATGGCTGCAGTGACCAAATAAAGACAAAGATGAGAAATTAAAAGATAATAATTCTGTATGACTCCCACTTGCTGTTCTCTGGATCAAAACTTCTTGCTAACCCACTCCACTAAGTTTGCAGTATGTGGACAAACGTGATTAATTTTTCTCACTCTCCCTACTTTTATTCCAGCCCACCTCAATTTTTCATATATTTCAAAGGAAGAACCCAAATAATCCCAATGGCTCCAAAGAACCCCCCCAGGGTGACATAGAGGAGCTCTTACACATTCCTAGTAGCAATGGAGAAAATGTCAATGTCTTTAGAGCGTAACCTTCTAAATGTGCGTTACTCCAAGTGACAGTGGGAGGTGTTGATACACTACTAGCCAGACAGGCTATGCCCTATCCTGCTCTAGTATGCCCAGCTTTCTTCAGGCAGGTCCCTGCCCAAAGCTACACGGTCTCTTCCATTGTATTCTTGATCCCCAGGAGACAGATGGACCTGGGCAGAACCCTGGCACATGTACAATGAGAGGACTGCCACAGTTCTGATGGAAATGACTGTGCTGAGGCTTGAGGGTGGAAGAACATGAGAAATTTGCAGGGCAATCTCCACCACAGGTTAAAGACTCAGATCTTCTGGGAGCAGTTGCTCTGAGAAAGCTGTGAAGCTCCCAGCCCACGATCAGTCACTGACCACCAGCTCAAAAACTTAGTGGCATTGTGACAGGTTTTGGTTTAAGCATCATTAAGAATTACTATCCACCACCATTGCCTACTCTTTAAAAAAAATTGCTTTAGAGATAGGGCTAACATCAAATTCAGATCTTTGCAGCTTTAATCTTTAGGGGAATTCACACGTGAGCGCTGTAGGGGGGCCCATCTTCAATCATTATTTTCTCACCACCCAAACAGCACAGTGGGATCCCTGATGATTTCAAACACTCTTACTATGACGACAGTGTTATCTCACACTGCTCTCCAAATACTCAGACATTTATAGTGTTGATTAACTGACAAAGATTTAATCTGTTTATTACTAATTAGCTTTATTTTATGAAATTTCCTACAAGGGAGCTCTCTTTTTTAATTAAAAAGAAATGCATTACAACAATATTAATTTAAAACCTGAGATGCCACCTCAGCAGAGCTGACACATGCAAACATTATGAATATTTTTTAAAAAGAAACTCGGAAATGAAACTCATTTTGCTGCTTTTGGTGGCCACAGTGTGCAGTGCTCTCTTTAATGGTCCTCCTACCTTCCTCCCCAGACACGGACACCCAAAGGTTGGCAGGTATGAGCTGGGGGTGCTCTTGGAGGGGTATTTCTCCATATAGCTGACTAAATCAATAAGCATTGATAGTACTTCTAAAAATACAAAGTGCACAAATTGTCATGACTCCTAATTGAAGTGCTAGAAAATGAATACAAACTTTCCAAACCTTGTCAATCAAAAAGGGTAGGAAAGAAATGGTTTAAACAGAGTAGAAACTGCTTCAGAGGGTGTATATAATTCAAAATCTACATCTGTAACTTTATCTAGTGGAGCTTCATCCCGCTTGGTGCTGTCTAAGACAATGAGGTAGACCTTGATTCAGAACCCCTGCAGTGCTGTAGAAAGTGCCAAGGTGCTGTGAGTGAACTGTTCAGCTCATCCCGCAACACGCAACGCTGGGCAGAGTCCTAAGCCTCAGCTGCAGAAGCAATACACCAGATGAGTAGTTTCAATAAGGTAGCTACTTACTGACACTTTTGATATTCCATACTGACATCCCAATAGGTAAAAAGCTGGGCAAATGATAAAACCTCAAATCTGCATTTAAACCATGGAGTCTCTGAAGTGGACGCAGTTGTATCAGGCTTTCCTGCCATATGCCATTATACTACACTTTTATCATGAAATTGGTATTTTATAAAGGCATTAACAAAGCAGCTCTGCCTTATAAGCTGACTTTGGGTAAAAATTTTCACAGTGCCTAAGGGGACAGGTTTTTAGCTTCAACTAAGGCTAAAAAAAACCTGAATGAGAGAATGCATCGTAATGCTATTCCCATGACTGAAAGGCTATGAAATGTCCACAAGGGACAGGACAAGTAATAGGCTTAAACCACAGAATGGGAGATTTACATCAGACATTTGGAAAAACTTACTATTGATGTGGATAGTCAAGCTCAGTAACAGTTTGCCTGGGGAGGCTGTGGGATGTATGTCATAGGAGGATTTTGAGACCAGGTTAGGCAAAAAATCTGTCAGGAATACTATGAGTAAATCCTGTCTTGGGTAGACTAGATATTAATTGAGTTTTTTCTTGATAATTCTAGGAAGCTTAAATACTTTCAAATTGAGTTGGGCAGTAACAGCTCTGGAATAGCAAGGAGGATATTTATAAATCACTGAGGTATTTTTAGGATTTTCATTCAGCACGGAAAGGGTCCAAGCCTCACCTTCAAAAATTACTTTGGAATGGAAGCCTCATGAATGCTTTGCCTCAAGCTTTGAACTTAGACTCTCAAATCTTTCAGGCCATTTCGTCCCTCTCCTTTCAACCATCACTGAGATGTGCTGTGCCCTGTCCTAAACTAGTCTTCTCAGATGCCTCTCTGGCCAGCAATGAGACACACACTGACAAACTACATTCATCCTTATAGCTGATGGAATGGTTTCAATCTCTATCAGAGAGATTTTACTTCATTTCACCTTTTGCATTACAGTTTTTCCTGTTTACTCTTTGTTTTATGTATATCCAGAGATTTTCCTGTGCTCTTAGCATACAAATTATGAAATGTTTCCTTTCATTTTCAGCACTACAAAATCCATTTGTACTTTGAGATTAAAGTTGTTTCCTTGAGGTTTGTTGTTTTTTTTTTTTTAAGATATCTAGAAAAGAATAAATTTCTGAACAGAAGTGAATTTCACAGAGAGTTGTGCACCTCCCAGAAAGTGCTAAGGATCCCTATGAAGCAGGATGGTTAGAGAGACGGGCAGTCTCTTTTATTGAGGTTGAATCTATAGGGCTTGTCAGAGTAAAGAAAGAAAGAAAGTTTGCCAGTAAAGCAAATAGAAAAAACTCTTAAGGTAGCAAAAATATCTATTAAGTGAAAGGTTGTCATTTTTATAGTTACTTTGCAGAGGAGAAAATAATTTAATACAAGCCTTTAAAATTAATGCCACTGAAACAAAAGTGCTTGTAATTCCTTGCTGCCCCATCTCCTGTTGAAATTTCTAAGAGGAAATAGGTGTCATAAAACACTCTCTTGCTTTGTGAATGAATATAACTATCAGCATCCTGACAGTGTTTGAAAAATATTCCTATAAAGACATGATAGATGGAAATAGAAAATAAAAGGAAAGTATTGGTTGGTAGTTTTACAGAAAATGTTCAGGTCTATAAAAACCTCTGTTGTAAAAGCATCAAAGCCAGAAGCACCTACAAAACATTAGGAGTAGATGCAAATAACAATGCACCTAAATATTTCATTGCATAATATAAATCACATATAAATCTAAGACTGCTTTGAATGCAGAAATATGATGTGTAACATTTTTCTCATATAATCAGTTCAGACAGCAACAGACTTAAAGCTCATTTATGTCCCTACACCTCTGCTGACTCGTACCACATTTTGAATTTCCTCTGGATTAGAAAAAAAGTCTTTTGCTGACTGAAATACCATATGCTGAATGAACAAAAGTTTTGCTCATAGTTCATGCATAATGAGCTCGTGACATGATTGTATGTAGATGTTTTACTCCTTCAGGGTTCAAGATACAAAAATTTTCTAAGGAAAGTGTTAGGAGGAAGCAATGGTAGTTGATGTATAACATGAACCCTATATATCTGTCTGCAGAAATAATTCAAAACAAATTAACAAATTGAAAATCCCATTTTACATT